AACTTTTCTGGTCTATGAACAAACGCCGTGATTCGAGTACATGGAAGTTTCTGGCCTCGACAGTCTATAAGATATACCGCAATTTCTTTGTAATTTTACATACGTTTTATTATTAAAAGTTTTTATAATAGTTCCAACCAGAGTTCGTACAATTTACCGATAAAATTTGCACCGCCTCCTTATTTGGGCTGTGAAGGAGTATTCGTTTGAGTTTCAAAAACCTTTTAGCGCAAAAGGTTTAATTTTGTTTCAGAGGGGGGTCGTCCTGAAACTCCTCCATAGGCGAAAAATTACATTAAATACTAGAATAGATGTATATTTTCATATAAAATGCTATTTAATGTTGAATATTTTTGGGTATTACCACGTTTGCAATCAGCAAGGAAAAACCAAAAACGGTGAGACTTCAGACATAGACGCATATTTTCATTTGTACTGCCCATTTCTACAGTTTGCAGCTGTTGATTTGATGCATCAATGCTCCGATGTCAAAAATATAGTTTAAATCAAACGTCGCAATTTTTGTAAATGTGTTTTTCTCCTTCCTGACAGGAAAAAACGAATGTTCCAACAGACTGCTTAATGAGTTACAATGTGGTGTGTGCTAAACATGTGCAAAGCATTCAATAGCTTCGAAAACATCTAGAGAACGTAATGCACTTTTCGTTTCATTTGATATCTTCTCGGCTCTGACAGCCGACCCCTTTAGTGTCCTTTCATGCATTTAATACCAGAAATGTCACTGTCTAAAAAGTGCTTAAAGTGAAATTGGAGCCACCTTATTTACAGCCCGACTATTAAATAAAAATGGAAGCTCTTAAATTATTGTTGCTGCCATAAACTTAGCCGACGCATTTCATGGAATATTAAAAGAAAGAAAGAAGAAGAGTATTATATTAAGCAAAGAAAGAGAAGAAAGGGAATCGAAGAATTTTAAACATCCATAATCATAGCTTAGACCCTTTTTGCTGTACCACGGGGTTAAGAAAAGCAAAGAAATCTGAAGGTATGTTTTAAATGATAAACTAAATGGATTGTCCTCGATCGAAGAACAAACTTATATTCTCGCTTAACCGGAGCAAATCGAAATATTTTAAATTTGGGTTGAAAGAGGGAAGGGAAGAAGATTGGGTTTTTTTAGCAGGCTGGCTTTGATGAAGACACTCCCCTTGTGATATTTTAAGTGAGCCTTTTCTTGATTGCCCGAAAGCCTTGCTGCTCACGTGTTATTTTCAAGCTGGCATCAGCTCATAGAAAGGCCACGCCCTTTGTAAACACTACAAGAAGCTATGACTGTTTTGTTTCAGTATTCAAATGCTGTCTTAATAAGTGCCTGCCCTGCATTCAACTGTTCTTAAAACTTCTGACGATCGCGCTTTATAGGGTAATCCCTCCCTCTCTTGTCAGTTGTATCGTAGTTTAGGAAAGTATAAACTTTATTTAGGGATTTGAACATCGTTATGGAGTAACAATTCTTCAAAAATGGCATATCATCCAAAACATTCATATAGCACGTTATCAACACAAGTCAGTATTGGAGGAATCTCTATCTTTTCGGGGAGTATTTAATCTAAGTTTAAGCAACAAAGAAGTGCTTCATGATGTCCTCTATGTGAGTGTGAATAGACCCTTTCACGGTTTTTTCAATTTTTGGCATGGAAAAGTTAAAGAAATCCGTCGACACCACTGAAAAGAGCGCCTTAATATTAGTAGGATTTCCAAGTTTGAAAGTGATACGTTTAAAGTTAGCGAGGATATAGCTTAGCAAACTTGCGAACATTTGCAGACGTGTGTATGGTGGAAAGGTGGGTGGGGGGAGGGGAGGCAAGTTTGCGCCCCCAATTACGCGACTTTGGAAAGTTATATCGTCATCAGTTTTCAACAACTGACTTTCAAACTTAGTAGTCTTACTAATTTAAACACGCTCTTTCCAGCGAAGTTGACGGATTTTCCCTTGACTGTTCATGTCAAAAGTTGACTGAAAAAACCGTGGAAGGGCCTATTTGAGAACAGTGTGTGGGCTCTTTAAGGTGTTCGATACAGTTCTTCGGAGACCACAACGATATTTTTTTAATCTCCGTTAAAGTGATTTTATCCTTGTCCGATAGCCATGAAATTTTTACCACTGACTTACTTTGGATTGAAGTTTGTCAAAATGCAGTTTTAAGTAAATCGATATCAACAAAAAACTTTGAAATCGATAAAAGCCGAATTTTGCACGATTTAGAACTGCTTCTGAGCTTTGAGATATGTTTATGTTTTATTTGAATTCAAACACACAGAATTTTTTTTCTTTTCACGGAGGTTATTTTGCTAAACATCACAATTTAAGCAGTTCCTGGAAACGGATTTTCGGTAGCGGGTCTAGAGCGCGCAAAATTCGGCTTTTATCGATTTCGAAGTTTTTTGTTGATTGTCGCCATAGTAGCTCGATATCGATTTTACTTAAAACTGCATTTTGACAAACTTCAATCTAAAGTAAGTCAGTGGTAAAAATTTCATAGCGATCGTCGGACAAGGGAGGTAAAATCACTTTTCAGGCGATTGAAAAATATTGGTATAGTCTCCGAAAAACTGTATCGAATGAGCACCTTAACGTCCAAAAAAATCTATTATGATATGCAAGGGTTGTGAGACAGGGCCTACGTTTTATCCACATCAGTAGTAAACCCTGGGTTAACGAGAACCGACCACCGAGCAACTGCGCCCAGGTCAGAAAAAGTGTTTCAAGGCAACATACTTTGAAGCAAACTTAAATAAATGTTATAATCATAACTCTTAAGTTGAATCCTTTGATAACAGTAAACAACTAACAAAAAATCTTGAAAGTGATTACAGCTCTGGGCTCGGTACCTGCAAAGCCGCTTGGCGCTAATCTAGGATTAGTATTTACCTTCCTACACATTGCTTAGAGTAACATTTTGTGTTATCATTACAGAATCTCAAAGTAAAGAAGTAAAGTAAAATTTGGCTTAATCTTGGTTTAAACTTAACCATCTTTCGAGGAATTTTCGAGGAATGTTGGAAACAACTCCTCGATCGGTTTACTTTGATATACAGTAATAAAAAAACGTATTAAAACTCGACAAAAAATTATCAAGCCAAAATAGAGTAGAGGCGGTTAATAAAGACCATTAGGCGTTTCAAACATACTTTCTACCTGGAAAGACTATAATTTGTCAAAGTAACACAAGCAATTAATTAATAAAGTGACGGTGCCGTTGAAATAGTTATCTCTCTTTCAAATAATCGACATAACAATAATAATAATAATACAATAATAATAATAATAATAATAATAATAACAATAATAATAATACGATAATGACGATGACGGTTGATCAAGATAAAACAGTGACAATGAAGATGCAGCCTTCATGCAAGTCTGCATTGCCGACTTTAATACGGTGAGGGACTGGGTAAGAGTTTGTGTATTATGGGATTCTCAACGCAAGACCTACACAGTCAGAAAGAAAATTGTAAGTTTACCACGAAATGTACAATATATGGATTTCCGGAAATGGTTGGATTATGCCCCGATACGGTGAGGAGAAATTAAACTTCTCACCACTGAGGCTTAATAGATGAGGCCAATAGACGTAATTTGCTTTGCTATCTTGCAAGGTTGTGTTTTTTAGTCAATTAAGAGCGGAGCGAGGAAGTACCCGTAAATTTCCGATTATAAGTCTCCCCTACAACCCATCCCAATTTATGGGCCCATCTACCTCTAAAGAAATTAATACATCTGGTTATAAGCTCCCTCTCCCCGAATATAAGCTCCCCTCTTGCTAATATTGAAATGAATTCGACTTTTTACGAGGTTTTGAAGCTTAAAAAAGCGATCAAACTCAAAAGTATTTTGAACAGCACTGCTATGTAGCTTGTTTTGAAACACTTTTGTTTTAAAACTGTGAAGGGTTTGAACCCAGGAGTCATTTCAAAAGTAGGTTGAGTTTGATCGTCCGGGTGAACGTAGTCCTGAATAGGACTGTTGTTGTTGATAGTGACTGACGTTTCGACAACCTGTGCGATAGTCATCTTCAGAGTCAAAGTGAGTTGTATCACGTCAGGTGATGGTATTATACTCTGGTTATTGATAACAGTCACTGTCAACAACAACAGTCCTATTCAGGACTACGTTCACCCGGACGATCAAACTCAACCAATTTTGTTTAGTCCGGTTGTAAGGCCTCCCGAATACCGTAAAATCCCACTCTAAAGCCCTGGGCTTAATTTTGGGTGGGCTAATAAACGTGGGGGGCTTATACCTGGGGGCATATAAGTGGAATAACAAAAAATGTTTCGGAAAGAGGAGATAAAACTAATCTGAGAAACGAATTAAAGCAAACATACCATTACATTAAGAGTTACATTTATGATACATTTACTGTGCGTCACAATGAACGGAGAATTTATTTCAAAAACATCTATAAAACGCAAATTTTGATGTTTGTAAAGAAACGCAAAAGGAACGCACGTATACACTAGATGGGCTTATAAACGGGAGGGGGGGGGGGTAGTTATATCCAGGATAATATCTTCGTTAGAAAATGGATGGGCTTACATCCGGAGGGCTTTAAAGTGGGATTTTACGGTAAGCTCCTCCCTTTATAAACCCTCCAGAAACCCCTTACGAAGTTGTATAAGCCCAGGGCTTATAATCGGACGTTTACGGTAGTTTTCCTTAGGTGAAGAGTAAAGGACAAGAAAACCTTTAGATTCTCAGATGAGGACGATTAAGAGAACGAGATTTCTACAATATTAAGTAGTGCGCGCGCGTGAACCACTGTCATTTTGGCGGGAAAACGTGATAGCCGTAGTCATTCTAATACGGTTTTTAGCGCGAATATCGTTGTGGTGCAAACAAGTTATTTAATGTTACAACGAATACCTTTTTGCGCGATCGGGAGAATATCTGTGATAACGTTTCAAGAGTACAACGAAGCTTTTCGGGGTGTCTATTCTATGAGAATACGCAAAAACCTTAAGTTAATTCTCGTCCTCGCAGTCGTTGTCGTTCTCGAATCTAAAGGTCTCTAATCATAATTACACAAAAGAGCAAATCAGATCTTGGATCAGAGCAGAACAAACAAAAAATCACCTTATGCTGATTATATAGAGGATATTACACGGTGGCGCGAAGATATGAATTTTGTTTTCGAGTGGCAAAACAATATTTTACGACCGAGCGCAGCGAGTGACTAAAATATTGTTTTTGCCACGAGAAAATAAAATTCATATCTTCAAGCCGCCGTGTAATGTTCTTTTTATTATATAGACAAAAACACATCGATAAAATAATAAAGGGAAATTACCGAAATTACGTCATCGATAAACTCACGTGTGAGATTATGGAAAATAAACCAGTCGGGTCCCGGATGTAGTTTTTATGAATTTTACGAGTGGTATATTTTCCAGTAAAACACTCGTGTCTATATAATAAAGTTCTTTAAATAACACCAGGCGTGGTCAAGTTAGTGAGAAATGGGTGTTTGTTCTAGTAACTACAAGTACTACCTAAACTGCAGTTCATAATATAAGACCTGGGGTCAATTAAATAAAACTTTCATAAGTCTAATTTACAAAAGTAGCTATTGTCTTCGGACCCTAAAAACAAATTGTAAATTACACTTGTAAAAGTTTTATTAAAATTACCCCTGGTGTAAAGTAATAAAGTTTACGCTTGTCAAGCATCTTGCGGTACATATTACGCTTGAGCCTCACTGTGTCCACTTAACACAAGACTGTACTCCGCTCAATATGGAAACTTTAAATACTGGTTTTACTGTAGATATCTTCATGTATCTGAGGCAATATCTACTACATTTAATAAAATGTCAACTTCTGACTATTGTTATTTTGTGCGCTATTGATCCTGTTGCTCTTGTTGCTGGCGCTGGTGAAGACCTTCAAGGAATGAATCCAAATCAAATGGCTGAAAATCTGAAAAAAATGGAAAAAAATATGCGGTCACATTACTTTTCACCGCAGTCTTCAGTCCAACTAATAGAGTGTTTTTGCAGGACGCCACGGCGGCCATATTGGTGTTCCAAAACAATGGAATGGCGGCCATGTTGGTGTCCCAAACCAATCCTGTGGGAATAGACCTTTTTACCGATACGGTGCCGATATTGAATTAATTCGATTTAAGGAGTATTATAGGATGCCCTGGGGACATGAGCACATTTCGTTTGTATTTTTGAGCGCTTTTCGGGACATTTTTTCTTAAAGTTTTCTTAGAATAAGATTGTAATGAGAGAGAAGATCCTTGTGCCGTGTTTGGATGTAAGAATGATAGCCTCTTTCTAGTTTAGTATTAGAAATATTGTCTTTCACTGTATAGTTCTCGGGAAAAAGGCGATCATTATCACATCCAAACAAGGCACAGGGATCTTTTTTTCCATAACAATCTTATTCTAACAAAACTTTAAGAACAAATGTCCCGAAAAGCACTCCAAAATACAAACGAAATGTGCTCATGCCCCCTGGGCATCCTATAATACTCCTTAATAGTCAGGTCTCTTAGTGCAAAATATAGGCCGGATCGTTACAGACGTGACAAAAGTGTCAAATTTGGCACATAGCTTCCTTAGCACCTACCGATTAATACTGGAGGGGGTGCCCGTTACAAATGGTCCTAATTACAGATAAAAGGGGGGGTCAACTTTCACCTATAATAGTAGATTGGGTGCCCTGTGGTGAGTACTCTTCTTGTTTGATTTGGCTAAAAAACATTTGTTGCAAATTTTTAAGTTTTTAATTTGGTAATGTTTAGTTGTTGTTACACTATTCAAAATAGTGTTACATGTACATAATACTGACTAGTGCCCAGTCTCCACACGGTAAGTGTGGCCATGTTCATTGTGCGGACTGTACGGCTATCAGTGTCACTGCTAAGACTTGCCAGTGATAATATCATTACATATCAACTTAAACAGATCACAAAGCCAGCTTTCAAAGATGTCATACAATAACCTAAAACTCAAATGTATCACATCCTAAACGATAGAATCGTTAAAGTTTGACATGCCACATGAACAACTTCATGAACCGTAACTGACAACGCGCCCACTTTGTAATTGTGCAGCTAAGATTAGATTCGTTGGTAACCCTGTCCTTGAGATAATGATTAAAACATGTCAACCTCGTCCTAAGGGGGAAAAGGAGGAGCAAGGGTGGCACAGTTGGTTAGTGCGCAGCCTTCGGGACGAGAGGTCCTGAGTTCGAGCCCGGTGTCAACACCTCCTTATTTCAACTTCTCTTTTTTCTGTGTAGCTTTGACTAGCTTTAAATACCCTTAAAACGGAGAATTAATGGAGAGAGGGGGGTAAAAGGAGCGCACCGTCGACCTCAAGTTTATCACTTATTATTACTGTCACGAGTTATTGATGTAAAATATGGTCGCTTTACCTTTTTCTACCTTTTTATTAAGCCCTGGGGACGAGGTTGTAAAACATGCCTCTCCAGGAATTTTTAACACTCTTTATTTTTTGCACATTTGCATTTAAAAAGAAGTGTATGAGGTCCCTGCATGCCTATACACCTGTAAGCGGCTCATTCACTTCAGAGCCCTTGGACCAGAGTGTTAATGGTAGGTCTATACGATCTTTCAAAAAAAAGGAAGGTCGTCGCGTGCGTTACAATTTACAAACAAACTAACTTCAGAAGAGCTGAAATTTACAGGAACAAGGCCTCTTTTATCCAACCAATGATGCATCATTTATGAAAATGAATGTAATTTGTTTGATGCAATTAGGCGAATACGCCGTGGTTACGAAATCTTACGATCATGAATTCCTCAAGAGCAATTCAGTTACCAACTTTTCACAAAATAATGCTGTGGAAAATCACATAAAATACCAAAAAAGCAAGGGTCAACAATAATTATGGCCTGGTCCCTTATAATAATGGAGTGGTCATGATAAAGAAGCCCATCAGCCCCAACTTTGACCACTCAAACAGATTTTTGACAGATTACATACTGCAAAACTTTGCATTCACTTATGCCTATGTTGCCACACCAGGAGCCTAGAAATCGGCTCCTGGTCACACCTTGTTTTTATTGCTGAATATCATTCTAAAGAGCTTTACGAAATATTTTGTTAGTAGGGGTGTTTTGAACATGATTGATATTTAGAGATGGTGACAAAAACGAACACAGAAAAAGTCACAAAACAAGACGCATGAAACAACCGCAATCTAATATTCGTTTTACACCGATATAATGGCTTCTTTGGCTGCTATGCTGACGTTCTTGAAGATGGCCGGTAGTTTCACAGCTAGTCCCGGGTTAGGTATACCGTTTATTACCAGTTTCACGGTTCCTGAGACTTAAGGCCTGTTAACATAAAGGTGGGAGACCCCAGGTCGGTGAGGTAACCTGCTTAGGTGGGGTAAAAAAATAACCCTCCTTTACATGCAATCTTACAACCCCGCCATAATGGGGTGCAGTTTCTCAAGATTATATGAATGGTCACTAACCATGTAAACAAGAAAAATGCTGGTAAACCACGTCTACGCTCAATTGCTGCTCTTGCTGCAACCTTCAGTGTTGTGGCTTTCTATTGTTACCTTTAATAATTATGTGAAGCCACCCAGCGCCAAAGTGAATTTTACGCGAATTTGATGTATCTCGAATCCGACCGCGACTAGCCTGGGTTTCCTCACCTTGAAACGTTGACATGGCAAAATTTGACCTCAGCTGAGAGGGTTACCTGGTGTGGCAGACCGGGCTACCCACCTTGAAGGGTGACCCCACCTATCATGTAAACGTGATCAAATTAAAATGAGAGATTATATGGACAGGCGGGTTACCCCACCTAAGTGGGTTACCATTCCTACCTGGGGTCCCCTTCCTCCATGTAAACAGGCCCTAAGAGTTAGCCCGGCCCCCTTTCTACAGTTTCAGCAGTTAAACTATTCACCATTTATCATTTGAGTCAATCTTGTACCACTTGAGTCTCACTTTTACGACTTGATAAGCTGTTATTATTTTTGGACATGAGTGCTTCAGTGCCAAATGTACAGGCTTCATGATAAACTGGGTTGTTTTTTGAAGCTTGGGCTAACTTGTTTCTTTTTTTCGTTTATTAGACCAGATTCTTTTTTGTTTGTTTTTGCTTTGTAAAGCTTATACAAACTGCGGAAATTGTAAATGACATGACTTGTGCCACGGTGCTTGCTTCTCTGTCAAAACATGCACTTGCTTCCAGCAGATAACTGGATAAAGAGAGACTGAAAGGCATCCAGGCCTATGTTAAGCTGAAAAATTAATTACCTCCCTAGGAAAGAACATTTTTGGGTTCTATCATTTCGTTATTTGCTCTTCATGAATAGCTGTCATAAATCCCTGATAATATGTGATACAACAGACTCTTTGACAATTTCTTTTTTCTGAAATTTTGTTTGCTTTCTTCAGCTTAAAGTGACATGTAATGACAATACTTGATAAATAAGGCTTAAGCCACACAATAAGGCCTCCTCTAATTGAAATACATTAGAAAAGGAGAAGAGACCCCAGAAGCTGAGTACTTGCAAGTTATGAAGCAAAGACGAGGCCATCTTAGAAATGACTTATGAAAATGTGGGCGGACTGTGGACTTGCTTTAAGGGCACAGTAATAATCAACTTAATTATACAATCAATGAGCAAAAATGGATGGGAATGCCAGATATTCGAGTGAAATTGTTGTTTACAGCCTGAGAATAGAATTCAGAGTGATTTAAGGTATTAAATAACAATTTTCAATGAAAACACCACAGGGACCCCAGCAGGTGAAATTTACAATAATTAAATCCTGTTTAGCACGCTTCAGTGGCATATTTGCAGTGGGCACCCCCTCTAATATTCATGGTACTGCAATAAGCTATCGCTGTGCAAAGTTTGGTGCTTTTGTCAACTCTGTAACGATCCTGACCCTAAGAGACCTGACTATAAATCGAATTAATTCAATATGGCCGCCGTATCGGTAAAGAGGTCTATTGAACCTTCAGCCCTTATTTAAAACTTTTTTTTGTACTTCCAATAAATTTGCAAAGCTACTGTCCACGCGAGTGAAAACGATCTATAAAAACCGTGAAAAGCAAAAATGATGTTTTAGGAATGTTTCTTGTGTTATGACCTATCACAGTGAAATCATGACAGCCTAATGTAGATTAGCTACATTGTAATGCTTAAAGCAGACCGTTCTCTTGTGTTGTATTTGCAAATATTTTTCTAATAAAGTTGAACTGAAGTTTGAGTTTCACAAAAAAAAAAAAACTTGACGCTTTTGCTTACAGTTCAGATTTCCTACAGCATCCCTGATTGACTCTGCCGTTGCAGATTTAACTTAAACTTTAAGATAAACAAAAAGCATTTGTTCAGAAAAATGTCACCACAAATATTCCCTTCTAGCTGTCTACGCTATGGGCAATCGCAGATCTTGCTGTCTATGCTAAAAGAATGGCTATGGGCGTGATCATAATTTATGATCAATTCTTGCAAGCATGAGCAAGACACAAAATCCTCTACTATCAGGAAAGATGGAAGAGAAATGGCCTAAAACGATTAACACTGAAGTACTCGACATGGGTGGGAGTTGTAAACCAAATGAACAAATGAACCAAATCAGTGGCAGATCCAGATCTTCAGACGAGGCGGGGGGGTATCCAGACCCTTCACGCCTCCGTTTGGTCTAAAAAAAAAGGGGGGGCCCCTCCCCTTGATCCACCACTGCAAATGAGACCTTAGAGCCCACATTTTTAAATCTCCCCTCCAGGATAATTCACTTTCAAAATGGGGGAGCATGTTCACAATTCTTCATCTTCAAACACACGTTTATGATTGAAATATAATATTAACAACAACAACAACAATAATAATAATAATATTAATTGTTGTTAATGTTTTTAGTCTTCTATGGCCTATGGGTAATAAGAATTGCATTAATTTTATAGTTGGACCAATTAGAACCGCTATTTCAGGAACCTTGGAAACGTTCCCAATTCTGAAGGGGAGCATTATGTATCGGTCAAATCGAAGCTTCAACATGCCTCCGTTTGGTCTAAAAAAAAAGGGGGGGCCCCTCCCCTTGATCCACCACTGCAAATGAGACCTTAGAGCCCACATTTTTACATCTCCCCTCCAGGATAATTCACTTTCAAAATGGGGGAGCATGTTCACAATTCTTCATCTTCAAACACACGTTTATGATTGAAATATAATATTAACAACAACAACAACAATAATAATAATAATATTAATTGTTGTTAACGTTTTTAGTCTTCTATGGCCTATGGGTAATAAGAATTGCATTAATTTTATAGTTGGACCAATTAGAACCGCTATTTCAGGAACCTTGGAAACGTTCCCAATTCTGAAGGGGAGCATTATGTATCGGTCAAATCGAAGCTTCAACATGCCCCCCCCCCGGGCATACCCCGGGCATTTGACACCTTTGCCGTCCCAGGGAGGAGGGAATTTGATTACCAGACTCTTCTAGGGGGTGGGGAATTTGATCCCCATGCTTTAGGGGTGGGGAATTTGAACTGTACCCTCGATTTCATGTAAAATCTTTGGCGTGGCGAGCTATCATGGGGGAAGCGGTGTTAGAGGATTTTCGTGGAAAAGATTGTGCCTTTGTGGCCAATTGTTTACGAGGAAAGGGCTTAAACAAGCTTTGTGCCATATTTGAAGTATTTAAATTTTAAAATTTTTAATATTGGATTCAGGCTTTGAATGTATGAATGTATTTTATTGTTGCGTTTACAATGAAATACAACACCTATACCGGCGATTCAATACAACAACATAAAATAAAATAAAAAGCTCAGGTCAACTACTTTTACCTACTGTAAGTATGTTAATTAATAAGATGAGTGATGACGCATGTCAGTGAAATGGTCATGATGTAGTAATCTCAATAGGTGGGATCTTTTTTTATACAACGCTTTGTATGTTGCATGACGAAGAAAAGCTGAGCATTCAGTGACCTTGTAGCAGCGATTTCCGCCGCTTTGCACGAGACTTTTGTTTGTAGTAAATACGCTAACCGTGTTTCTCAGTTTTTGTTATATTTATAAAGATTTTGTTCGACAACTGAAGGCGTTTCCGCCGTCCTTCTGTCATTTTTGTGCCTGTAAAATGTCCCCGGGGTGGGGGCATTTGATCACCTGAATGGACCCTAGTGTGGGGCATTTGAACGGCATCTTGGCCCGGGTAGGGGGGAATTTGAACAAAAAATTTCAAAAAAGTCAAATGCCCGGGGGGTTGCCCGGGGGGGGGGCATGTTGAAGCTTCGATTTGACCGATACATTAAATGTGCACAGAGGTCAGGTGCAAATAAAGCACATAACACTTCAGAATTCAAACATACCTTGCACAACCATTTCTCGTGGAGCATATTCTGTTACAGTTACTGTCTCTACAAATGAGGAAAAAAATGCAATCATTTTATATAATAGGTAAGAATAATTTTATTACTACTTATTTACCCACAGTTAGTTATTGATTCCAGGCTTGAAAGTGCAATATACTTCAACTAGAACTCTCTTACATGCAATTGGTTCTCTGTTCTTTAATGTACAGGTTTAACCCTGCCAGAGCACAAAAATGTCATGTATACAGTATGTTTGAATGGATCATTTATTTTGATACATGACTTAAAGTAAAGGGTACAAATAAAAGTTACAGTGTTAATGTAACGGGGAGTGTAAGCCATGAGGCACACATGACCAAAGCCTAACCCAAGTTTGGTCACATGAAGTTATGCCATTCATCCCCGAATGGGACGCTAGTCCATTGACAAGCTAACCCATCAGTTTGTCACCAGTGTATATCCATCTACACTAAAAGCCAAATGTAATTTAGATGAGGTTAAACATGAGACAATGCTGACCAACAGTCTCCATCACTAATCGTAGGTGGGGTGGTGTTGGGCTTTAGCACGGCTTTAGTAAAATTTTTACAGCGCTTTCGCTCACTTTGCTTTTGCTTGCGGTAGCTTTAGCTGTTTTTGTTCCCAGCCCTCCCTTTCCTTTGGATGTCTTCTGGTAAGTGTCTGCAGATTTCTCCACTGAGGTTCTCAGTGTGATGGTGCCTGGTGGTGCCACCATCCTTGTAGGCATCACTGCTCAAGCTCATCTATTGGTGATGAGTTTAACTGATATTTTTATATTCCTAGACTTTCACTCAACTAAACAGGGACTGCCGTTGGTTGATTCTTGGTCACATGGCCTTGACTAAAATCAAATATATCCCAATCATGATACATTTGAGCAATTGTAACCCACTTGGGATACATTACAACAAGATCAAAGCATGGTGGAAAGTGGCGTGACAGAAGGCGGGAAAAACACTGCCAGTTTTCACTTTCAGGGATGAACACAATGAGAGTCCACAACACAAACATGAAGCCTCAAGCTAAAATGCAAAGATTTTCAAAGTTATCCCTAAAGAGAAACAGCAGCTACTGGTGGAAAAAGATGCAGATAAAATAAGGAAAAGTGCTTTGCTAAACATTCGTTCAATGGTTTTGAGAACTAAATTTGTGTTCTTATAAGAACTGAGTCAACTGTTTTGATTCTCTCCGGTTATTCTTTTGTTGCTGTTGAAGGTAAAGTCTAGAAATATAACAAAACACTTAATGCTAGGTCCCTCAGGAAACCAGTTCGTTTTCTTTTCCCTTGAGTCCCAGGACTCTCGGGAAAACAAAACTAACTGTTTCCCTCAGGATCTGACATTTAGTGTAGATTGTAAAATACAAATAGTTGGAAATTCTAACTGCAAATTTAGGATTATGATGAGGTTAAATAAATATTTATTTAACAGATCTAGAGTTAACAACAAGGAGCATGAGCGTGGTCAGCGGTTGGTCGTTTGGCTCAAGCGCGGTCAGCCTTGCTTGCATCACCTCCATGTGCTCAGTACAGTGTTTTTGTGGCGGCAATTCTCTTCATTTAGCCTTTGGATCATTCTTTTACCCCATCCCTCCCCCCCCTTAATTCTGCCACTGTTAATCAGTGTGATGGGTGCCTGGTTCCTTTGGCATGGGGGCTCAGTTGTTAATTTTGAGTTTTGATGTAGTCCTTTCATTTTTGTTGTTGCGAACCATGAGAAATGTTAAAAAGAAAACTGACTTTCTATTATTCCATTATGGCCAACAAGGTTAACAATCCCAACTGGCTGGAGGCCAACCATGAGGAGCTATTTAATGTTGTACATGTACTGTAGTTTTGGTGCATTCATACCTTTCTGTCTATTCCTTTCTGCCTCCAATTTTGCCCATTCTGGAGGAAATAAGATTTAATTACAAATAAATCTTGATAAAACTTGATTCACCTATGGCAACATCTTTTAAGAAAACACAATAATTATTATATTACATGTACTATAAACTGACTAAACTACACCTCCCTCAAAATGTAACTGCAGTTGACAATATTTTGATCCCTGCAGGGTGAACTGAAAATAGGAACAACAGTTTGCACTGAAGGGCAGAGCCACAAAGAAGACTCTTTTGAAAGCAGGAACCTAGAAAGCTAAAAAATATGCAAGGAAAACTACTCTGTATATTTCTTTTCCATTTGCTGCAGAATTATGAGATACGAAATTTTCTAGCGATTTATTTTTCAGTTTACTCCAACACACCATTAAGAAGTTTTTTTTCAATGTCCACTCCAAGAACATTTGACTACCTTCAAGACAAATTGACTAAGGGTACGAGTGATTGACTGTAGTCCGGAATAAGAATATTAAATGAAATAAACTGTAGAAATCACTTGTTTTGGCACTCACTGGACTCCAATATATAGAAATTCTTTGAAATAAAATAAGGTAAAATTCTGAAAAAAAGCCCCTCCATGTATAAGCCCCTCCAAATATAATATTTTAGGATCAATAGTTTTTTAGTTTGAATTTTTGTGACGTCATGTGAAAACCAACAATAGAACAGCCATGGTATGTTTTCACTGACATTAATTTGAAACTCAATTAGCTCCCCACATCATTTTAAACAAGAAGAAGGAGCAAGAATGTGCTCTAAGGAAAATTGAAGGGAGCCCAGTGCTCTGAAACTGTAAAATCTAGGGTGCCCAGCATATGATTTGTATGAAAAACCTGAGATTTTGTAGTCACCCAAGGGCAAAAGTTAGGCACCAGGGGCCACTGGGCTCTGCTAGAGCACAGCCCTGGGTAGGGATCGTAAAGCCAACTTGAAGTCTTCCCTGAATATGTCCTTGCATTCACATAGTAAGACCTGCATTCTACAGCACCCACCTCTTTTCAAAACATCTACATTCTTCTTGTACTCCTGGTCGATTGGTGATGCAGATGATTCTCTCTTGCGTGGCATGTGTGGTGAGTATGCATTGCCATTCACAAGTGTTGATGCTGGAGAATTAGATCTAGAAAAGGAGCAAGAGATGTACATATCTAATTATAGGAAATTATTGCTCTATGAAATTAACGTAGATTGGAAGTTAACACAACTTAAATTAATGTCAATTTAATGGAAAATGACTTTCAGATAAAGGAAATTAATGAAAAAGAGAGTGTAACATTTCAAAATGACCATTAACAGACTGTAAACTGTTCATTGAAAGTTTGTTTCAATAAAAAGACTAAACAATCGGACTTTGGGGATCTATACAAGGTACTGTACCTATAGTAGTCAATTTCTTCAAGCGAACTATCTGGTGTTCCATCGTAATGTCTCACAGTGTAACCACTGCAAATGGGTCAGTCAATGAGAAGCAGATGGGGCAGTAAAGAAATGACAGCCAATACTCTTCTTGTCCCTTTTAGTTTTTTTGGTAGGAGAGAGGGTAATGGGTGGGGGGTGGGGGGTGGGGGTTGGACATTTAATTGAGGTCGGGCCCTATTAACTTTCCCTCTCCAAGGATGAGTGCTTATTTGAGGCGGGTGTTAATTCAATGTTGGGTGCTTAATCAAATAAAATATGGTATGCTGTTTAAGCTATTGTCTGACCCTCGGACGTACACGCAAATTCATACCCCCACCGTGGTACGTGGGGGGGGTGGATGGAACCCCTCCCCAGTGTTATGTTGCAGTATTTCAAGATGATTTTACCTTTAGTGGAAAGCCTTTGATCCTCTTAACAAGATGAGGTATATTTTATGGGTGATGGTGCTGCTGGAGGCCTGTGACCAACAATGGTCACCATCTTGGCCACCCTCTTGGAATTTACCAAGAATTAGAAATCAGGTTAAAACCGCGAGAACTAGTAATTTTTTGAGCTTTAAATGAAAAATAACTCATAAATAAGCACTTTGCATGATTATAGCCACAAGATTTACTTTTATTGTTGAAAGAAGTTAAAAGAAGGTATTTTCTCCCAAAAATGGCTTGACCACGAGCTACTTATGACATCATATCTCATGACCATAGCAACTGACCATCACCAAACTTGTAACAGAATGTGGATAAGGGATGAACAAACAGCTACTGAGAATGTCAGGTGCTGATGTTGTATCCTCTAGGAAAAAACTCAAAAAAAGCTTAGGGGGTAGCATCCACTCCCCCCCCCACTACCTCCTTGTACGTCCGAGGGTTAAGAATGACTGACAAAGGAGAAAAGATCACAAAGATCAAACGTAAATACAACAAATCTACTACTAAACAGTCATTATTAATGAAATATATTGTTCTTTAGCACAAGCATTTGAGTTTTGCAACAGCTCGTTTGCAAAGTAACTCTAAACTTTACCACAATTAACCAGGAGAAACTTTAACTGAAACAAATTTATATTTGGAACCCCATGGCTAACAGGTAATAAATTATGATGCACTGAGTTAAAGGAGTTGTGTTATGAAATTTATCAAAATTTAAACAGTGAGGAGCTGCCACCAAACTGAGTGAAACATAGAAATAACTTGTCAAAACATGAAAAGCAAAGAAAACAGATAACACATACAAAAGGAGGAACAGATGGGCAAATGTGAACGACATTGAAACAGATCACAATTGTGGGTTTTGAAAACTTGTTGTTGTTTTGAGCTGTTTCTATCTGCTCATTTTCTATTTTGAGAAATTCTCAACTTGAATCTGATGTTTGCCATTTGCCGTATACATGAATCTTAAGACAGAATCCACCAGGACATTGAGTAATAAATTATTTTGATTTTCAGTGGACAAAAATCTTGTACCAGGATGATTTAAAGCATATTGCATCCTTTCTTACATTTTTCAAGGGCTAAAGATGTAATAAATCATCTGTAGTAACACCAAAAAAAATTTCCTATGGAGCCAAGAAAATGAATGTCAAATTTCACAAAATTACATCTTACCAATGAAATTTTCAGAATTTTACCTGTGGAATCACAATTCTTGTGAAATTTGACATTCTTGTTCTCGGACTTCCATGAGAAATTTTCTTTGGTGTTACTAGAGATGATTTATTACATCTTTAGCTCTTGAAAAATATAAAAAAAGAAGGGCAACATTGTTTAAAGGTTTTTGTCCACTGAAAATTAAAATTACTCAATTTCCAAACTCTCTATT